GTTGATACGAAGCCTGATGCACGTGGTGCGCTTAGCTGTCAATCATTTTCGCAGCCAAGGAAACCGTCACCACGGTGACATGCGTCCCAATCCCAGTATTCACCGCGGTAAAGATGGCGGCCGAGTGTTATTGTTGTTGCTGTAGTCCTGGCAACGTTACTTGTTGTCACGACAACTATAGTCGTTTTTGAGTGGTGGAAATGAAACGACCGTATTCAGACTTTCTAGTCGTTACTCAGTCGTGAATTAGTCGACGCGATGGATATGGTCGTGAACTGGTCTGGAATGTCCCAATATTCGACCAATCCCAGCCCAGATTACGACCATCAGAAATCAATGGGCAAAATGTACGACCAAAACACTACCGATTTCAGCCTATCCATTCAACACGACCAACGACCCATTTCACCCCCAAGTCAGACCGATCAACGACCTGCCCGTGCACTGTGATGCTTCAACAGGGAGCGAAGGTCGGGCTTTCTTCACATTGTTATTGTCTTCGTCTATACATTTGGCGTTTTTGGTAGTGTTTGTATGTAATATAGTTTAGCAGCGTAACTAAAAAAAACTATGGCTAGATTGTTTAAGATATAGATGAATAAATAGATAAATAATTGGTATATGTGGTTTGAAGATTTAGAGGTACTGCAGCAGAACTTCCGGGTTTGGTATGGGTCAGTACCAGCTTCTTTGGGAACTTCATTTCTGTCGTCAACTTTGAAACAGAATGAATGATTTTTTATGATTTTTAATCTGTAGGTATATGTAACTGATGCTGAAGACCAAGTGAACATAGTGGATGTGAATTATATTAAAAAAGGACTGAATTTGGATAATTAATCAGGAAAACATATTTAATTTTGCAAAATGGCTGAGGTACCATTTCTTGTTTCATCCTGCTGTTTGACTTGCAGTCACATAATACTTTGTTACTTCAGGTTGCACTATTGGATATCAAAGTGCTAGATGGAAGAAAGACGACAAAAGAGCTGGGGCTGAAGTACGGCCAGGACAAGGTGCTCTTCCTGCCCTGTGATGTCACTGACAAGGGGCAGATGGAAAGTAGGTCAAAGGTCAAATGAGGACCCTGCACTTTGGTACTAGTACTGTGCCTGCACAGAACCTGTAATGTAATACAGCATTTCAGTAGGATGTTTGTTTAAGGTCAAATTCACATATTCAAGGACGGCTTCCACTCTATAGTTTTCTAATTGTTGTGTTGAGAAAGACGGGTACAATTCCAAATGCAACTTTGACCAAAACAAAAAAACTTGCGCAAAAAGAGAATGAATATTTTTGCAGACTATATAATTTTATAGTATAATGCAGGCTTTTGTCAAGTTTACTGATGACATGTAAAACTCTTCATAGCATTAAACTTCTCAGATAAAAATACATACTAGTAGGATGCTCATATGCATGCATTTGTTAGACGTTTATGAGATATCACTGTACAGTGGAATGGATGCCATTGCTGCAGTAAGACAGGCTCACCTACGGTAGCTTGTTATATCTGCCATACATTGTACCTGCTACAATTGTTGTCTGACTTGACTCTGACTTGACTTGACCTGTTACACCTCTAACGTCTTTACATGTCACGTGGCTTCTTTGAAGTGTGATGTCAACACTGGGTCAAAGGTATCTGGTAGACGATACATGTATACATGTACACTGTATTGTTAACCTCAAAATTGATGTATTTACCACAGGTGCATTCCAGCAGGTGTTGCGCCATTTTGGACAGCTGGACGTAGTCGTGAACAATGCAGGAGTGACGGAGCAGGAGAACTGGGAGCTGGTTCTGGATATCAACTTGGTAAGACTGATGAGGATTTGATATACTTCAAGCCCCTGTCACACATTCAGAACCTTCCCCCGACCATGTACCAACTAGCACGTCGGCAGAACGTACTGCACCTGCGCAGAACCCTAGATTTTCACGGTTTTCGTTGGATTTTTGGGCAGCGTTGCATCAGAATTTTCCCTGTTGCAGACGATATCTTTTACGACATAACATTTGAAAACTACTGTGACAGTCTGAATACTAACCTTATATGAGCAAATACGACCTTATATGAGACGTTCTGCCGAAGTGCTATGTACAATACATTACGGGTTTCACGCAGGTGCAGTACATTCTGCCGACGTGCTGTACCAACCAAGGTTGGTGGTGGGTTAGAAGCAGTCTGACCAGATTTAGATACAAATTGAATCCAATTTGAGTCAAATTTGAGTCAACTTTGACTGCCATCCATGCCCTGATCACTACTGACCTACTACATGTAGTATTCCTAACCAGCAGCCGACCAGTCTCCAACCATTGCTGAATCTCATTCCACAGAATGTATGCAGCTGAACCTGCACAGGTGCTAATTTAGTCGGGGGAAGATCACGGACAAGCCATTATGGCTTCTTATCAGAGAGAAGAACAATAAAATGAACATATAACAGTAAAATAGGATATGCAGGGGAAACCCTGCATATCCTATTTTACTGTTATATGTTCATTTTATTGTTCTTCTCTCTGATTATATGCGAATAAACAAACAAACAAACAAACAAACGATATTTGGATATGTGTAGAGTGTCACATGAGGGCACTGAAAGGGAGTGGAACCAACAGTCAGGGTATGGTCTGTGGTCAGGGCAAAGTTTTTTTTAAAAAGATTGTTTACGTTTAATGAAAAGGGGCCTCACATTTTCCTTGCCATGGTCAGTAGTTGCAAGGTCCATCTGATCGATGAATTTCTAACTTTTGGCAGAATCTATTTAGCTACTTCCAATGGCAATAGTGTGTCACCCAACCTCTGCCGGCAGTCAAAAGTATCAATGCGCTATACCAAACCTAATCACTTCAACACATTACAGTCCTTCTGCTAGTAGGTGTGAACCAGACGCATGAATTATAAGGCAGCAGCAGGAGGCGTGTGGCCGCATGAATGCCTTTCTGACAGGCTAGATGTGTGATAATCCACCACAGTAAAATGGATATCCCTAATGATAATTTGATGGTTCCCGGGGAGGAGCACTGTCACATCTCTTGAATAGGTTTGCCCCGGGGTGAGTGCCAGCAGAGGTTGGGTTGGGTGGAAAAAAATTCCAGTACAAAAAAGAAACCCCGATAAAAAGTCTAAAAACCTGCAAAAAATAACCCAAACTTCTGCTTGGAGAATACAAAATTTCATTGTATGAACAAACCTGGTACATTTGTATGTTGGCTTCATGGCTCTCATAGCATTTGGGGCTGTCGACATTAGGATTCCTAGACCTGTTTTTTGCCCTGCTGCTTCAAATTTTTCTTTTAAAAGATCTGAGAACCAACAAATAAAATGCCTGTACATTGATTTTGCAAAATGCATAATGACCACAAATTGGTAAAGTCAAGCTGTGCTGTTCTAAAGGATCACAAAAAACTCTTCTTGTCTCTCCAACAACAGAGATCTGTTATCCAGGGTACCTATCTTGGACTGCACCACATGAGCAGGGAGAGAGGGGGTGGAGGGGGCCTTATCATTAACATTGCCTCCATGGCTGGTAAGGGAATTTTCTTCAACTCTGTATTCATATTCCAGACTTCTATACATTTGAAAAATGGTGGCCTGCTGTCAGCACTGAGTCTCCAAAATTATCTCTTAAGCCTCGGTCACAACCCGCTGTACGCGCTTCTGCGTTCTGTCTACGTGCAAAAACGTGGGCAAATGTAGGGGATCCGTAAGTGGTGAGTACCACCTCCGTACGGAATCCTACAGATTTGGGAGCACGCAGACGCGCCGTAAAACTTTAAGTGCATGTAAAGCTTTTTCTACGTGCGGTCTGCGGATTCACCACCTGTACTTGAGATGCGTGTGCCCCGCACGCACCGTACATAAGAAGCACGTGTGAGTACGGCCTCCTTACGGTAAAGTTGCAATTGCACAGAGATCATACGTTGTAAGCATGTACAACTCACTTACCACTTGCGCAACGTACAATGCACGCAACCGCTCACGGCCAGAAGTGGCGTGCAGACCACACTCTTACACCTTGCGCAACCGTGCAAGTGACGTGCATCGATGCCACTCCTTCCCCACATTTTCAGAAAAACGTAGCAGACGTGGCCTAAAAAAAGCATGTACGGCAGGTTGTGACCGGGGCTTGAGCCTGAATAGTAGACCTGAGGCCAATTTAGACAAAATTTTCAGTCAGATCAGACAAAAAGAAGTTGTTATGAGCAGATGGTTGTCTACTGTAATGGACTGTAATTGTTCTGGTTTTCATGTGATTTGTCCTTTCTATGTGATAATTCAGGGCTGATTGCAATGTTCCATGGACCGGTGTACACTGCAACTAAACACGGTGTGGTGGGGCTGTCCAGGAGTTTGGGGGTAAGGAATGAGTACTATATACAACTTTTCCATTCAATGTGCTATTCTGCCTTACAACACACACACACCATAATGTTATCAAATATATGTATCTTGAAAATCTGACAGTTTCATAACTCATAAATAATACAAATTCTTTACTCTAATTGATTGACCATTGGGCATTACAGATGATCTAACAACCAGTTTTCTCCACTATTATTGTTTTCTGTCTCTTTGCATTATGATCTTGGCTAGTCCCAATGACTGTGGCATGTGGCCACTTCAGTGTATGTGTACAGTGCCATGTACATGTATGTCAATGCTTTAAGATTTAAGGCTCAGTAGATTGTCCCTACGCTACATACATGTACGTCATGGTTTCAAGCGCACATGTAAGTTTGCCTTACACAAGGACCACAAACTTGTGTAAGAAACAGAGGCAAGCAGTACAAAAAGATAAAAATCCTTCTGGTCCCGGGCCGGGGTTCGAACCCACGGCCCCCGGGCGCCACTGCTTACAACCCAACGCTCCTGCTGAATCAGCTAAAAGGTCTAGACCCGGGTCTAAAAGGTCTAGACCGGGTGAGTTGGTAGCGCCTATAACCCCCCTACTGTTACACTACTCCCCCTTTTCTTTTCAAGATTTGTCCTCAAACCTTCCGAATTTGACATCCCTGCTGGAGCGGTACTCTCTACCAGAACTCCCAGGGCCGGTGTGGGAACTACTGTAAGAAACAGAGGCGAGCTGTAGAAGCAAATAAAAACCCTCCTGGTCCCGGGCCAGGGTTCGAACCCACGGCCCCCAGCTTACCACTGTTACACTTGTATCAGCAGTGTTCTAGCCAGCCTGAATTTTATTCTCTCATCTTAATTTTATTTGAAAGGCGCGACAGTCCTAGGGGAGTACAATGGCATGGGTCGCCGTGAAAAAATTGGAATCTTGACCCTCAGAACAGGCCATTTCCTGCATTTTGAGGGGCAGATTTTGCTGGTAGACTAAGCTTAGTTTTTTAATAATGACATTTATTTCAATCTGTATCTTAACATCCTGATTTTTGTCTGTCAAAGATGATGGATTGGGCAATTTTTTTTCCTTGTGAGCTGAAAAATTCTGTCAGAGGATGGAAAGACACTGGCCATATCTGCTAGAACACCCTGGATCAGTGACTAATGATTTCATACTTTTCACCTTTTTGCAGACTCCGTTTCACTTTGACCGTACTGGGGTGCGTGTGTGTGCCTTGTGTCCCACAATGACAGACACCCCCATCCAACCCCCCAGGGTGGCCTCTACACCTGAAGAACAAGTGAAGCTTGATGCACACTGGGCGTATACTGACTCTCAGGGAGGCCTGCTGAAGTAAGTATGGGGAGGGAGGTGGGCATTACAACACATGTTGTGAACTAAAACAAAGTACATGTACATGTATGAGAAAACAGTATTATGATACATGTACATGACCATAGATATAAATCAAAGAAACTTCTTTAAGAATAGGAAAGGGGTATACATGTAGATAGTGTTAATTATGACAGCTTGTTTGATTAGCTATCCTACAATGTATTTTTGCTTCTAACCCTACTCTCTTGTGATCAAATATGTTGATAGAAATGGATAGTGTTACACATAAGCTTCAAGTAGGCATTGTGTGCCTTGTAGCACGATGTTCATGAACATTGTATGTGCACCTTGTTTAACAATCTTCTTGATGCTCACAGTGTTCAAAGTGTCGGTTAGAATATGCTATAAAATGGTTTATGCTTTTATGCTGATTTCACATAGTAGATACATTGCATTGTAACATCCGTGTCCATAATATCACCAGGGTCCATAATATCGCCACCTTGAGAAAAAGTGTGCTTAAAGATATTTTTACTGCAACATACCCTCAGGTATGTTAATGTACATTTGATGTGTGCAGGAGTGCATATATGTACCAAAAGTATGTTGCAGTAAAGATATCTTAAAGTACATTATTACTCAAGGTGGCGATACTATGGACCCTGGTGATATTATGGACACGGATGTTATATTATGAAAAAACATTTGGGTACAATTAGGAAAAAGTAACCTCAGATTTTCATTATTAATAATAGCAATAGCTAAGGTGTCCTTTCCTTTACATTTTGGCAGAGTTTCAGAAGTGGTTGCCGGCTTTCTTCAGCTGGTGGAAGACGACAGTAAGAACGGAGCTGTGATGAGGGTAACCAAACAGAAGGGGGTGGACTATCAGCCGTATGGGGGAGGGGGGCAGGGTGTACCCGTTACCACACGTAAAACAAGGAGCAAGCTTTAATGTAATACATAAAGAAATGTTGCAAAAAAATTTATTGTATAAATTATGCAAATGACATGCCAGGAATTTGTTGTATAAATTATGCAAATAGCATGCCAGAAATTGTAAACTAATGTGCATGTGTACATGTAGTAGCTGTAGATAGTTGGTTGACAATCTAAGGCCCTGTTCACACGAAACCATCTGAACCGTGATTCGGGTAACTCACATTCCTCACATCTGGTCCATGTGCCACATAATCCTTTCTAAACCGAGCCCGATCACGATTTGCCTAATCTACATTCATTGTTGTTTAATGAAGACATGCAAGGTAACGTGTTATCAATGTCAGAGGTCAACGACCTACTTGCTGATACCCCCCTCCCAGCGTATCTCGGCCAAATGCCAACGTGGTCCCGCCAGAGGTGGTGAAGCTCGCCCTAGAATGGACACATTACTTGGTCATTTGCTGCCACATAAATTTTGGTATTGCATATAAATAAAGAAATATCACCCTGTAATCCATGACTGAGTCAATATTTAAGTAAACTGGTGAAGTCACATTGCGTTCAGACGCAAATCACGATCCAGTGAAACCAGCTCAAAACTAGCTCCCAAAGTGGTTTGGGATCGAGGCACTTTCAATGCGATTTGGAGCGTTCAGATGGGGCCACTTGTATCTAGCTTTGGTGGGATCTGCATCGAAACCACTTAAAGCGTTTTGGTGTGAACGGGGCCTTAAAAACAGATCTAGTCCAAAGCCAAAGAGGTCATTTCTAATATATTATTTGAATGTATGAATTTCTGTACTTTAAATTTATGTACATTATGAATATCATATAAGACACCTCTTCTACATATGGCATGACATAATGTCATACCTGGGCCACAATAACATTCAATACAGGTTCCAGCCCATGTGATAACTAGCCGTATCACACAGGGTTCTAATGGTTATCACCCAGGCTTCCAGTTAGTTTTCCATTATGTGTTTTGTGTGTGACTAGTGCGCCGCTTTTAAAATGGACAATGGAATAACTAAAGGTGTAGCAACTTTTTGTTTATGGAAATAAAATTTGAGTACATTTCACATTGATGTGTGTTTTCTTTGGTGGGTATTGCATTTATAAAGTAAAACTCGGTGTATTGAATTGAATGAATTCCCCATCACCCTTGGTCCCAATCGACCTCGGATGATTCCCAATACACTGTGTTGTATTTTATATACTAGGTTATATTATTATAATATTAAATATAGTGCTTCAAGCCACCAATGGCACCATAATACTTTAATTAACAGTTCTGATTACATTCAATCATCAGTACTTTTTTTCAATAAATAAGGCCACACCAATTTAATTTCTTGGTTAACGGATTCGCCGGCTTAATTTTTTTCTGATTTGCAAATAAAAATAAAAATTCAGAATCAACTGCAAAATGCTCATATTTTGCCCTGAACAGTTGAAAACAGTCCTTTTCTTCCTAGTTGTTACAGTTATTCCATCTTTCAATGCAATGGCATCATTAAAAGTTCAAAATTCATTGTTTAAATTTTGAACCAGCCTGGTGTATTGACTTCATGGCTCCTATTGTACCATTTTGGGCCATAATAGGATGCCTAGGCCTGTTTTTATTTATATATTTTTTCGCCCGCCCGCTCCATTATTTTTCTAGAAAAATCTGTTAACCAAGAAATTAAATTGGTGTGGCCTAAGTATAATACTAGTAGTCGTGCATGATCACGGGACATACTTTGGTTTCTCATGATCATACTTTTTTTTTTTAAATTCCTATTGCCACGTAATCAAATTAATTGTTTATGGCCAACTTGGAACCTGGGTACAGCTCCAGAAAAAGGAAAATTAAAAAAAAAGCAATCGTGCATGATCACTTGCAGTGGTAGTCCAACGGGGGCATTGGGGCGGCAGACTGCGCCAGATGCATCTTGGGCACAGCCTAGTATGGGGAGGACATGAGTTGGGAATGAGCGACCACTCGCCCGAACAGGCATAAACTCCCTGCCTTCCTAGCCGGGTTCCCAGGAAATGTTCAAAGAAATTGTGATATACATTATGAAATGCAAGTCAATTCGAGGTGTGAAAGCGTTTCCAGTGTGGGTGCAAGTTTTGAATCACGGACGCAAAATTTATTCCGTTGCGATTCGGATCATGGCCAAACTGGGGGAACACATTTTGAATCATGAATGAGGCCTATATAAGTTGACTAAAGCTCCTTTCACACATAGCTGAATATGGCCTGACTATTGCCAAACTCCCCCCATGGTTAGGAGTGGGTAAAGTCCCTCACACATAGCCAAATATGGCCGCATGAACACTGACATGTACAAACTCTCCCGACCATGGTTCGGAGTACGGCTGTGGTTGGCTGGTGTTCAGCTGCGCCAGCCAAATGTTTCCAAATATTTAAAACATTTATGTGTGGACGGTAGGTTCGGCCAAGGTTAGATGGTGTTTGGGAGTAGGACAACAGTGTTCAGGGCATGTTCAGGGGTCAAATTTGACTAGAATTTAACTCAAATATTATTAATTTGACTTGATTTGTATACAAAGGTAGGTGGCCTAAATTTGTTTCAGACTGCTCCCAAAATTCAACCAACCTTGGGTGGTTGGTGGTCAGGAGTAGGTTCTGAATGTGTGACAGGAACCATGTCTACATGTACATGTGTATGTGTGTGTTGACTTCTTTGAGACCATCAAAATAATGGTCACATACATGTATAATATATGTCACTCCAAACCCTTATTTGTGAGGTGAGTAAACAAGCTTTATTCTACAGACATGTATGAAGAAAAAGAACTTGAGTTGACCCAAAGGTACACCAGGTCCAAAAATTAAGGCAACTATTTATTACTACATTGGAAATGAATCTTACGAAAGCTTCCAAAATCAGAAAATGCACAGAGGTAACATGACATGTAAGTTATCGGTCAGTGACGTGTTCTGTCTACGCCCTAATCTATCTATTGTATCCTCCAGAGGCATGACTAGATCCATGGTAACCTTCCCTGCGGTCCCCACTGCTCCTACTCCCTTCTCTCCATCCCTCATTTCTGCCTTCTCTCCATCCCTCATTCCTTACTCCTCTCCATCCCTCATTCCTTCCTCCTCTCCATCCCTCATTTCTGCCCCCTTCTCTCCATCCTTCAGTCCTTCCTCCTCTCCATCCCTCATTTCTGCCCCCTTCTCTCCATCCCTCATTTCTTCCTCCTCTCCATCCCTCATTTCTTCCTCCTCTCCATTCCTCACTTCTTCCTCCTCTCCATCCCTCATTTCTTCCTCTCCATCCCTCATTTCTGCCTCCCATCTGGGATCTGTAACAGCAAATAACATGAGTAGGAAACATCACACTTAATCTATGATAGCAACAGCCAGATCTGTCAAAAGCTTTTTTTAAGTCATTTGTTTTATCATCTAGTAATGTAGTAATTGAGCCAACATCAGACAGATGTTCTAATCCAGAATATTATTGTTTTGCCATCCTGAAACACCCTCCCGAGCAGGGTTAGTGGCTCGGCCCGAAGGGTCCTCCTCAGCTAACCCTGCCAATCTGGATTCGATCTGAGCCTCCAGCCCAGGAAGCTGTCAGCCAATCAGAGACACAGCTTTCAGTTGTGCAAAGCTAAGGGCAAAGGTCGTCGGGAATCCGACAGCCAATCACGTTACGTCTTACATCGCTGGTTTGGGTTTCCTGTAATGGCGGCTGGTAATGTTTTCTCAGCCGTGCAAGACTTTTTCGGCGTCGAACAGCTTCACGAACACGAGACGTATTTGATAGACGAGACGTATTCCTTAGTGTGAGGACAGGCGGAGGGAAAAGCCTGTGCTACATATGGGCTTTCCAGTCACAGCCAGAGCAGTGGCGGAGCCACAGTCTCAAGAGCATGTGCCAAATAAGGCAAGCTGGGCCGGAGGCTCAGATCGAATCAGGATTGGCAGTGTTAGTTGAGGATGACCCTTCGGGCCGAGCCACTAACCCTGCTCGGGAGGGTGTCCTGAAATTGCATTGGATGCAACTATTGAGGGAAAAAAATACTGTTTTGGTCACTTTTTGTATTTTTATTAAATTAGAATACTAATACTTTGAAGCAGCTATCTGAAATAGATTCATGTACATTTTTTACCTGTCATGAAAGTTCCTCCTTGATCGTGAGGCCCAGTTGTCTACTATTGGTGGTGATGGTGACTGTTTCTGTTGATAAGCCATGAACACTGGGTCTTCCTCAGTAAACCTAGAGGACACAACAACTACTGCTCAACACGATAGAACAACGCAGTGATGGCAAACTTCACCCCGCTTCGAGAATTTGATACCGTGCGTCAATTCAGTCTACTAGTACTTTGCCATTTCCCATCCCAAGCGTCTAGACAAACCCTGTATCACAAACATGATCTGTTCCCACATTTTCCACTGTACAAAAAAGCAAGAAGTTGACCTCTCTATATTAGCTCAGTGACTAGAACACTTTGTATTAGCCTATATAGTATAGTACCCTTGTACTAGTATGTTCCTTATGTATGTATGTATGTATGTCTAAGTCAAGTAGTGCATCTTTTGTCTCCAATTTTCTATATATGTTTGTTTTGTGTCTGCTATATCTTGACCTGTACCTAGCCTGTCGTGGCATGAATGTACAATAAAGGTATTTCATTTCATTTCAATTAAAGCTGCATTATGTAGCATTAGTAAAACGAAAAGTAAATTTTCTGGTTGTTTCTTTACAAAGTAAGTTGATTCAACCCTACTCTATTGCAAATGAGTGTCAATGGGAAGTGGAGGTTCCAGAAAATGATGCATAAGGCCATACCAATTTAATTTCCTGGTTAACGAATTTTTCTAGAAAAATGATGGAGCGGGCGGGTGAAAAAAAAAAATATATATAAAAACAGGCCCAGGCAGCCTATTATGGCCCCCCCCAAAAAAAATGGTACGATAGGAGCCATGAAGTCAACACACCAGGCTGGTTCAAAATTTAAACAATGAATTTTGAACTTTTAATGATACCACTGCATTGAAAGATGGAATAACTGTAACAACTAGGATGAAAAGGACTAGTTTTCAACTGTTCAGGGCAAAATATGAGCATTTTGCAGTTGATTCTGAATTTTTATTTTATTGCAAATCAGAAAAAAATGAAGCGGGCGAATTCATTAACCAAGAAATTAAATTGGTGTGGCCTTGTGAGTGTTTCTACATAAGGCCATGTTGATTTGATTATATGGATGACATCCTCTGGGAACCCCAAAACTGATGCGCGCGTGCGAATAAAAAAAAAGTTTTGCAAAAAAAAAAGTCGCTTTCACTATGAAATCTACGTGGTCATGAGGGTTGAGCAAATGGCACAGAATATGGTTTGGCGAATAATCTAGTCTTCAAGTTCATTTCTTTACAACTTATGGTATCTTTTTGCTCATTTAGCAACTGTTTTGCACGATTTACAGTATGGTTGAAAACTCTTTTTTTTTTTGGAAACGGCCGAAAATTCATGCGCGCGCGGATGTCATCCATATAATCAAATCAACATGGCCTAACTTTCAAACACAGCTGTCAGCCATTTTTATTTCCATTCTGGTACACTGTAGTTTGTGAATGTGATGGTGCCACAGACTGAGTGTGTCTTGTGTGGGCTGTTTGAGTGCCAACCATGTCTGTTTAGTCCTGTTATTAACAGTACCCTGATATTGAAAGAAAAGGTACTATTAAACATGTTGAAAACAAGAATGTACCAAGCGTATTTTGAGTCCAGAAAAAATAAATGTACCAGGATGTTTATTGCAAACCTCAAACCTGAGAGTCGGTCAGAACCAAAAACAGACTCAGCATGTCAGCAGAATGTAAACTGTGCCTGAACAATATCACGATTTTTTCAGTTTTCGCTGGATGTTTGGTCGACGTTGCATCAGAATTTTGCCTGTTGCAGACAGCATCTCTTACTACACAGCATTTGAAACCTATATATATGTAGACGTGATGTCATTGCAATTGGATGTCAACGAATGAGACGTTCTGCTGACATGCCATGTACAGGTGCTTAGGGTGGTTAGGCCTAGGGAAAAAAATGTTGTGTTTCCTGTTTCACGACTGACCCTAGAAAAACCTGCCAACCCTAGACTTTTTTTGGGGTAGACCCCTGCAAAGGACATAAACTTTTTGAGCTGATCAACATTTTCTAGCTCTGATCTGACACCTGAGTGATAAAGCATTGTACAATTGATTTTCTAACATTGACATTGAAAATAAAGGTGTCCTCATGCAAGTTTTACTTTGTATTGTATAAGTTGGGACACTATATACATGTGTAGGTATCACTGAAGTCTAACAAAAAAAGAAGAAAAAAAGATAATCCCTACGGTACCTACCGACCCTAATTTTTTTCAGGACTGAAACAGGAAACACAACATTTTTTTCCAAGGCCTTATAGCACTTCACCTGTTCTGAAACTTTGTCTCATACAAAGCCAGCTCTGACTGCTCCGCCATTTGCTGTCCGTAGTCTTGTCCAACTCTATTGACTACTGTTGGCACTGTTGTGATGTTGGTCACTAGAAGTAGTATGCAACCCAGGAGTCACCCTGTAAGATATTGTCAACATTATGGGTTATTACTAGTAGATTGTATCAGTTATAATTTGTGTACTATAATTTCTAAACTTTCGTCTCAGATCAACCTGTGTTAAACTCTAGGTCGGAATCAATTAGGGCACCCCTATTGTGACCGTCAAAATGACCAAAAACTCGCCGTACGTTTTGTGAGCCATTACGCTTGGGTGCAAGGCCTAGGCGCTACACTGAAGTGAAATACACAGCTGTGCAGCTTTAATCGTTGTGATCTTTATCTGTTAATTTTTATTATAGCTCATGTTGCGCGGGTTTTTGGTCAGATAAACTATTTCCAAAGGTATGTGTGTTTGCATGGAACATAGGTCGGAATTAGGACCCCTCCCGTTAACGCTTACATTTCGATTGTGAAATATTCACAGTTAAGGATGTTGAATACAAGGTTGATTTCAAACCTCCTCGGTTTATATATCAACATTGTATCCTGGTCAGACTAGCCCAAAAACACAATTAGCAGTTTTCCTTTTCTCTCTAGCATTGCTACTTCCACATAATTGTATTTGAAGCTGCTTGCTTCAGCTAAGGAAGTTATCAATAACCAGATAGCCTAGCGACGTTACATGTAGACGGTCCACCCCAGCTTTTCCAGAAACCCACATTAGGCCACACCGTAATTTTATGGATGACATCCTCTGAAGACCCCCAAACTAGTGCGCGCGGGCGAATAAAAAAAAATTCTGGCCAAGAATAAAACTGCTACTAAAGCACAGGAATACAAAAGCTATATTGTGAATTTGCAGCAGTACGTAGCGACATACACGACAAAACGGGACATGCTGGCTTTTTGCGGAATTTATGAATCGGCAATGTACGTATGCACTGACTTCTGGAGTCGTGTAGCTTTGGTGTCATCGGTGCCATCCTCCAGAGTTACCACCGGCTCCGTATTGTCGCTAGCTACCATGGACTACCCAGGCCTAAAGGCAGGCCGGACGTGATTTTTTTTTTTTGAGAACAGGCGAAAATCAATTCGCGCGCAGATGTCATCCATAAGATTAAGTCAGTGTGGCCTTATGGTTACAGAAAAACCTATAGGCTGGCTTAAAGACGAACTCAAAGAACCTGGCCTTGCTTTTTCACGTCCATATATGTTACATGTAGACCTCCCCACCTTTTCCGGAAACCCATACTTTATGGTTACAGCAAAAGCTGTTATATAGGCTGGCTTAACCACTCAAGAAACCTGCCTGGCCTTGCTTTTTCACGTCCATATACGCGAATGTATTATAAAATTATACGTACACTTCATGACCTAATTTACGCTTAGGGACTGTACTTTGGGACCAAAAATAGCCCTTCAAAATTTATAGTTATCGATTAATTTTTTTGTGACCCATGCCAGACCGGCACGCAAAACCCCCCTCCCACCCTGGCAGACAAACTTACCGAAGTTCTCAAGTTAATTCCAACTTAGATGTGGAAACGACAGCTGTCATACAAGTTACATATAGCAAATATAATGTTGGCGTGTCTGACCTGTTGTAACCTGGAGGATAAAAACGTTTTTGATGTAGCAACACCAGAGTCCGATCCGGAAGATCCCGGTTGTTGTTTATCACGGTATAGAATATAGCAGTCGATTCACTCTCATGCGATTCGTACAACTAAAGTGGCTGCCAGGAGCTGCCACACGGGGCCCGGCCGGGCAGCTTTTGGGAACGAAAAGTACGATATAAAAGACAACGGAACACAGAAAGTTTTTCATAATAATCATGGGCCCTATTTCTGTATATTCTTGATATGAATTGCTAATTTTTCGTTCATACAAACAGCCCGGCCGGGCCCCGGTTTGGAAATGTGACCTAAGCATTAGGCCACAGTATTAAAGTAAATTTTATGGATGACATCCTCCGCAGACTCAAAATGTAATGCGAGAGGGCGAAAAAAAACAAGGCAGGCCTGAAAAAAACAAGATTCCTATATTTTGAAAATTTGACATCATAAACCCTGAAAAGGTTATATTGTGCTAAACTTGTTACTATCACAACATCCATTTGTTACAGAAACAACTTTGAACTAGAAAGGTAACATTTGCAAGCAAATGCAATATGTTTACCTCAGGATGGTCTTGCCTACGATTTAACGTTATACCTTTATTAGGAAAGGAAAGGTAGAAGGATATTTTGCTTATATTACTGACTTTTATATGCTGTTTATAGAGTAACATCAACGTTATAACTGGGGAATTTGAATGTTTTTGCCGTTGTAAGGCCAAGTCTACCTGTCTGCCACTCAAAGATCATTACCATAGACTAGTCTTGTAGTGCCATGTATAGGAGATACTAGGATATATATAGTTACATACCACAGTACCAATGATTCACTCAGCACACACTCTTACCATGTTTGCAATTAGGCCACAGCATGTAACTTTAATCAATGACATCCTCTGCAGACTGCAAGTAAACTTCGAGTCTTTTTGACAGCTTTAGTTACAAAGGACTTTGCTGTGCTCATGTCACTACCTTATTACATTTTTGTAAATAGGAAACAGGACGTAGGCTGAAATAATAACGATGATAAGTTTATTATTATTACAAATACATGACAGAAGGCTAATTGTAAATACGTATATCATACGAAATGATATACAACTAGAGGTCGGAGATCTCATGTCTTCGTCAGAGGTACATCGTTCTAGAGAAATTAACATTCTTCACTCTTTTTAATAATCAATTTGGTCTAAAGAACAAAAGAATCTCTGTACTATTTTCATGGTACAGAACACCCTGAAACGGTTTGCCGCAGATTATACAGATGCGTCGTCACCCGTGTTAGCCCCCTACGTTATTTGAGTTTGGACTGTTACTGAAAAAAAAAAACGTTCAAGAAATTCTTACTGTGTTGAAAGTGTCACGACAGCGCCGCAAAATATAATAAGAGAAGATGTTATAAAGGAAAGAATCAGAACAGGGTGACTACTGCTGTTTTGTTAATTTGTCTTTATGACAAATAGAAGAATTGTTTCTTGTGTTTTTTGTGTCCTAACATTTGTACTTCTACAGTTAGTATATTCCAAATCTAGGCATCTCGTTTTTTGGCCCTTCGTGTTTTATTGCGCGCTTGCCTTAAATTTAAGGTAATTACCTCCGGGGGAGGAGACATCCTTCCGCGGAAGGGTTTTGTGAGAGAGTTAGATTTTCACGTTCGCAGCTGTTTCTCGCGTTTGGGTGGACGGATTTTTTTGGGACTCGGTGTATGTTTTGCTTTTGGGCTGCAGATGATGTACGTTCTTTTGTTTTTATTGTATATGTGTTTTCGGGCGTGAAAATGGTTCCTTTTGGTGGCCCCAGAACACCCCTTTGAGCGTGAAAATGGTCGCGACCGTTGACCTTTGGCGTGTATTAGGTATTGTCGGTCTCGTCCACGAAGGTGACCCCTAACACAGAGGGGTGTCCCGTCTCGATAAATTCTTTGTTTAAACCCTAGTCCTGCGGCGCGCAACAATTGTCGTTGTAAACAACATATATAAATATACAATAAAAAGCCCGGAGGTATAAAATCTCAGATTTTACTTGTTAGATTTAAGGTCTCCAGTGGACGTCATCCATAGCAATTACTTGGTGTGGCCGTAGAAAATAACCTGACATATGTCCAACCTATCCTCCCCGTGCTGAAGTTATATAGTACAATCCCTCAATGTAACGTCATTTGATCCCATCCCATTATGGGGTTCCCCGGCTATATCCAGCTGTCGACTGTCTCCAAGCAGATGTAGGTGGGGGATTTCTAAACACAAAAGGTCCTATTACGGGGACATAATATAACGACCTCCACGACTCTCATCTTTGAACTCAATCTTGGAGACCACGACAGTAACATGCCTATCAAATTTCATTAACTTGCATTCACACATACAAAAGTTATCCTGCTCACAAGAAAAATTAACAAAATGCCCCCTGTAGTCACAACGAAACCCCCCACGAAGCTCAGTAACGAACTTAACCTTGGTCCCGACAATAGTAAGCACCACACAAAGAATTATAATCAACATTTTACAAATACTTGAGTTATCTTGCTAACAAGTCACAAACACAAAAGTTGCACTAACTCGACGCACGGACCCCCCACGAAGCCGAAACTTGTACTTGACTTCGGCCTCAACAGCGGTAATCTGCCTCCAAAAAATCATGGACGTCGAAACATGCCTTCCAGAGTTATATCGCAAAATCCGCAGTTCCCCACACTCCGGCGAGACAATTTCAGTCCTTCTGACGAAGACAATGATATGAAGAACTAATTCCTACAGTACACTTTAGTCTTTATACTATCCCGCGAGATATCCGCGTGTGGTGCGAGATCTCCAAGTCTACCGCGGGTCCTGTCACCGATGGCGGCGGCGTGCCAAATGTTTATTTTTACGTCCTGTCGGGCGATCTGGGCAGGGCCACCCTGACGTCAGTCAACTTTGCCAAAATTTTAGCCACCCTGACGTCAGTCAACTTTGCCAAAATTTTTATTCACCGATAGCACAGGAGTGTATATTGTGTATGACGCGTTTCTCACACGGTAATAGGTGAACTGCTACATTTTTACAAAGCTATTGTGCAGCGAAAAACTCACGAAAACTGTAAGAAAATAGCAGGAATTAATTTTTAATAACCCCTTCGTCTCCGGTGAGTTTCGGCAAGTTTATAAACCTTCAAATAAAATGGGGCGTACCGGCTGTAGTAGTAGTTGTATTTCATTGTGACATCTTGTACTAAATTGGCTTGTTGAGGTCTACTCATCTTCTCATAAGCAGACTGCGTCAAGTAGTCTCTGTATTACGAAAATTAGGAACGTTTGCACATCAAAATCCCGCGGCAAGCGTATCACCCCTCCCATGCAAACACGTACACATAAAATAAATAAACCCTTGCATCAACAATCAACGATCCGACCACGTCCATTGACGTACGTATTACCCTGAAAACAAGTACTTCCACGCGGCTGGCAAAAAATCTTCCGGTGGAAAAAGCATTCTAGTTCTCGATGTCACTTGTGAAAACGTTGTTTTGGAATGAAATCGGGATGAGAAAAATACAATGCCGCTTGCAGGACTGAGGCGGAAAATCGCTACAATCGCCAGGCCGGCCGGAGTCCCTGGGGCGGAGCATCGAGCCTATTTGAATTTGAAATCTTGCCGCCCAGCCAGTGGGCGGGTCCCCGTCTGTGTGCTGTGATTGGGCGCCGCACGGTGATAGCTATGCTGCGTGCCGTTTCTATGGCAACGTGGCCCAGTCACAGAAAAGTATCAATTCTTGTTCGTCGCTGATCGCAAACACAGCCAAGAGGCGTAAAGAACTTTTTGATTATGCTTCGCCCCCCCCCCCTCTTTTGTATAATGTTTAATCTCCCTTCCGCAGCTCCGTGCGTCGACCTCCCCTATCTAGGCATCCTCCTTCGCAGGGCTAAAATCCTCCGGTTCCTTCCTTCGAAGGAAGGAACCGGAGGATTTTAGCCCTGCGAAGGAGGATGCTATCTAGGAGAAAAATGAACTTCTGGCGACATAGCACGTGGATGTGTTAGATTTTATATCTGAGATAGCGCGGGTCGGGTGACATCAAAAGCAGTACTTAGGGCCGTCCACATCGCAAGGTCAGACAGAAATTCTAGTACCAAGAAGGTTGTATTATTTTGTTATCGTTCTAAACATTATTAAGCCACTAAAATGTTCGATATTAAAAAAAGAAATATTTGAAACACTAGCCGTTTGTGCTAATGTTATCATCATGCATAATTTGGAAACAAACATGCGCCGCACCGTCTGTCTGTAAAAATCTTAGTCAACATGGTTCCCGAAAAATCCCGGGATATCCCGATTTGATGCTTATCCCATGAACTGTACTGTATTATCCCGAAAAAGATTGAAACTGTCTGACAAAACGACAAAATGTAATGTCACATCCATGTTTATATAAACGTAAACAAACGCCCCCTCCCCCGGCCCCGCACCCACATTACAAAGTCGACAATAGTTACAGATGAACACAATTCTGTTTACTTTATTTTCAAAACGGCAGCAAGCCTAAATCTCTATACATACGAGATTCTATCAAGTCAGGAGCTAGTGTAAATTATGAGTGTTTTTTTTTTATTTGAGCCGGCGGTGACATGCAAAAAATTACACAAAGTCGCCGGCGTTCTGTGGAAATCTGCAGTCCTACTTGTGGATATTGAACCCAAAATCCCAATGCAATATTCTCTACTCGAGACTGGTATTCATATGACCGTATTTTACGAAGAAAAATGAAAACTTACCGCTGACATTGATCCAGTCTCTTCTCGTGTCATACAAGGGCGGATGCCCATATTTGGAAAGCTCGGGTGTTCCGTGCGTAGCGCTAGGGTCATTGGCCGCGGTTATCGAACACGCTGTTCCATTGTTCCATGGTTGTTCGAATGTTCCAAACGCGTTCTTTGTGTTCGATTTTTGGCTTAAAATGCAACTTTTTTCACCCATTTTTTGTAAATAAAGTCATTTTTCACATCTATGTTGGCCAAAATGACAGCGGTTCAGTGTCTTACGTACCAACCTACCAGCATGCTGAATTTCATTTTCTTCCAGGTTCTAATTACGAAAATATCTACGATTTTTAGGTGTTTGGAACGGAAGAGGAAGAGGAAATGGAGCAAATATAATATGTTTTCCTTCGGTAAACATAAAAAGGAAAGCTTTCAATCATTCTACAAATGGTTTTGATTCAGTGGGAACATAGAAAAGGATTGAAATACATCACTGCATCAAAGTAAAAGTCAAAACAATAAATCAGAGCCTTGTCTTGTCTCCTCTCTTCATGTTTACCTGCCCTCCACGTTTCGCCATGGCAAGGCATGCCATTTTGCCCATTTTCGGCATGTTGACCACTGTCAAAGGGCAACAATTTTTTTTTCAAAATCAGGCGAAAATCAATGTCATCCATAAAAATTACTTGCTGTGGCCTTAGTAATCGCAAAAGTTAACTGAAGTAATAACGGGTTCCTTTCTCAGCACTCGGTAGGTTTGCAAAAGTTCAATTTACCCACCACTGCTCGAACTCCTTCCGTGAAAAGAACCTCTATGAGTGTTAATAATAATAATAATAACCTTTATTAAGTACAGGTGAAATGGGTAATATGCATGTCTGTATCACAAACAGCTCTAAAACTACTCTAATACAGAGGTTCGGCTTCTTCTCGTTTCTTTGTGATGTTAAAAATATAATTTGAAATGGGTTTGTTTAATACAGGATGATCAAAGCGCATAAGAAAGATACATTTTTCAATATTAGGCAAGTATTGGAAGTATGGAAACGTACTTGTAATATATCTAAAAAGATCATTTCTTTCATTACTATATAAACTACAATCAATAACAAGAAGCCATAGGTAACAATCCTCCGTGAAGTTTTATATATTTCAACAAAAACAATCCCAAGCGTCAACGCCAGACCTACTGTGCAGACATTATAATTAGGCAACGGTTAATACAATGAGGGCGCGTCACAACCATAAAACATAAAAAGACCTAAATCCATTACTGCTCCCAGGACGTGTAAAGATACTGTGCTTCAAGTTCGAAGTTCATTTTGATTACACACACACAATCATTGCATTTACATAAAGATCGGACTATAATGGTCGTGTCACTATTAACGAAGACAGCCCCACCGTCTTACCGTGCCTGTTACTTATTAAGCGCGACTGGACCGCGAGTGTTACTGCCGCCGGTCAGATCCCCGGGATATCTGCTTAGAGAACCTCTGCTACCAGACAACTGCCTAAACCTACGGCCTATTCCATAGGGATGTTTCTAAAATATGCATTTACTTCAATATCAAAACAGCTACGGTAAAAATAAAAAGACGTGCATCATCCCGGACATAATGCCACACCACATGCGAAATTACACAGAAATGCGACGTAGGGAAGAATGCGTTTTGGCTGCGAACATCTTCCAAAAAACTTGCCATCTCTTAAGCATGGGCAAAAACATCTGGAACCACTTATCAAAACCACCCGTATCTGCATGAAGTTCCACCCCCCACTGCTATTCCAAACAACGCGTTTTTCTGGACCATTCCAATTCGCCTCGTAATTGTAGGAGTGCGTCTGCAATATTACATTGACCGCGAAAGCAGCAACGGCAAAAATACACATTCGTGCATCAACACGGGCATGCCCACATGCGGCGTATAAAATTGCGTGCCGATTACACAAAGAGAACCCAGTGTTTTGACTGCGAACATGAAAAATCAGCCGTTCACAACACTCCGTCCGGAGGTCCTGACCTCCTTCACGGAGTAACAAAGTGGGCTTCGTCTTCTACTTTGTTTGAGTTACAAAATTGGCAAATCCTTTGCTCCAGAGGTGTGCGGTTGTGCCTTCCTGTTTCGATGCTGAGTTTATGACAGCTGATTCGTAGTTTGGTGATGGTGGTTCTTTGACTTCCGTTTGGGATTTTAAGATAATGTTCTTCATTATAAGTAGATTTGAATAGTCTACTTGTAGTCTATTACAAAGCGCAGTTTGTTCTTTGCGTTTTTGGATTTGTTGTCATTATGAATTTCGCGTAGGAATTTTTGGAAGTAAATGTCTTTCAAACGTTGGTGAATGGAGGAGATGGTTGTGTGCACTTTTGAAGCAATTGATAGGGGAGAAAGGCATAACCGCATTTCTAGGCTGAGCTCGTCGATGATTAGCCAGACACTATCCATTGGCCACTTCAGTGGCTAATCAATTGATACTGTCTTGCCGCCGTATGATCTGCTTGAAGATTACGTCCAAACCACAGTAGATTGGGCTGCTCCAGTTTTGCCTCAGGCGTCCCGCTGGAGTCAGACACCAGGAGCGGCTCAACCTGTCCTGCAGGGTCTGACCTCCGACCTCACAGCGCAGGGCGACAACCCAGGTGAGAATTATATATACAGCAAAATAGGACATGTGAAGGACGAATAGAGCTCCAGGGGACTTATTACTACAGGGTTCCAAATACTCACTCTCGCCGCGCAAGTCTTGGTTTCTTTGATTTCTGTGTTAGACGCCAGTTTGCCCGGCGCGAAGGTTTAACGGCTTCTGACAAAAAGTCTGTACGCCTCGACCAGCATGTGAGCGATACCAAATTCTATTTACAGATGACCTGGCTGGCTTATGGCTCGCATTCTAAACTAAACGGCCGATGTTGACAGCAGCAGAAGCCTTAAATGGCTTAGCCGAAAACCTGAGAAAAAGTATTTCTAACCCCGGTGTAGCACAACCGCCTTTTAAGGACATGCACGTGGTTCAGGTGTGTTATAAGAACAGTTCGCAGGACAGTAAAGATTCCCTATCAGGACGGGTGGGCATTACAGATGCCATGTAAGGACTGGTACGTAGTTCTGGTGCCATATAAAAACAGGTTGCAGTACAGATACTCTGTATTCTTGCCTTGTGAGGGCAGGTATGGAAGCACAACAGTATTGGTTGAAGTAGGCAGCGCACATGCAGTGCCTGATAATAAGGATAGGTGTGGAGTACAGGTGCCTGATAATAAGGATAGGTGTGGAGTACAGGTGCCTGATAATAAGGACAGGTGTGGAGTACAGATGCCTGATAAGGACAGGTGTGGAGAACATGTGCCTGATAAGGACAGGTGTGGAGTACAGGTGCCTGATAAGGACAGGTGTGGAGTACATGTGACTGATAATAAGGATAGGTGTGGAGTACAGGTGCCTGATAAAGACAGATGTGGAGTACATGTGCCTGATAAGGACAGGTGTGGAGTACAGATGCCTGATAAGGATAGGTGTGGAGTACAGGTGCCTGATAAGGACAGGTGTGGAGTACATGTGCCTGATAAGGACAGGTGTGGAGTACAGGTGCCTGATAAGGACAGGTGTGGGGTACAGATGATTGATAAGAACAGGTGTGGAGTACAGGTGATTGATAAGAACAGGTGTGGAGTACAGACGCCTGATAAAGGATAGGTGTTTACCACCGGTTTGTTTTAAAGAAATTGCCTTAACAGAACCTCCCTCAACCCGTAGGTACTCCAAGAAGAAACATGGCGACATGGCTATGGCGGAGGGGCACCAAAAGAAGCTTTTTCTGTCTCCTAGCCGTAGCCATTTTCCTCCACTCTGTCCTGACTGTTCGCTTATCATATGTCGCCTTATGGAAAGGATTCGACACGATGGAGAGGACCCAACATGGTGGTTACAGTTGTCAGCAGTCACGTGAACCTACGGGGCTGCAACGATTGGTTCTAATGAATCGCGTTCCCGCCAAAATGTTCTCGGCTGAGGCAAGTCCAGGTCGTCCGTCTGTTCCCCCGTCTCCTGGGCGGTCTCCCCGCGTGTCTTTCTCTCCGAACCGCCCTCAGCAAGCTCCGGTGGTCCTGGAAGACTTAGTCTCTCCTGAAGAACCCCCCGTCTCTAAAATCGCGGCGTTAATTCTATCCTATAGCAGCGATGAATCTTTAATTCTAGGCGAAATGTTCAACCAGCATCCCGACTTCTTTTACATGTTCGAACCCCTCCATCCGCTAGAAGTCGCTGCCAGAAGTAGGAACACTACAGACCGTCTGAAGGTCAGGATCTTACACGACGTCATCTCGTGTAACTTTTCGGCATGGGGGAACCACTTCAAGACCTATTTCAAAGATGAGGACTTTGGGGGATGGCAAAATAGCAGAGACATTCAACAGGCGTGTTCTATCTCGGAGAAGTACTTCAAGTTGAACCTTCGGAAAAGATGTCCTATACTGGACCAGGACATCCCGACTGTCCTTCGTGCAATCTGCGTGAGGCGGAAGCATTCAGCAGTGACGTTCGCACAGACCAGAAACCTCGTAAGTCTAGCGACACTTCTCCGTGAGCCAGATCAGGGAGCCCCGTCTGAGGCCGTGAGCGGGGGGCTGAGTGCGGAGGACAGGCAGCTGCTGTGGGAGGAGGGTCTGTCTCCTGTTATCTCTGGAGGAGAACCCGCCGTTCGGACCAGCCGAAGCCCAGATGTAAGGCTGCTGCTGATTGTGCGAGACCCGCGCGCCTGGGTGACGTCACGGCTTCGGCAGCTCTACAAGACTGTCACGAGGTATGACGTCATTTGATTGCATTATTTAATTAGTTACTCCGTCGGCTATCCCTATGTATCTATAATGATTTTTTTAAAAATTTTGTGTCATCTTATTTACAGTGTATGTGTGTTAAAGTGACCAGCAATTGACCATAAACAATAATCACCATATAACTAAACGCATTTAAGGAGAAACCCTTGATAAACCTTGTTGGGTTCTGGTTTCTCCTGAACGGTCTTCTTATCATTTAGGCCATGTTGATTTGATTATATGGATGACATCCTCTGGGAACCCCAAAACTGATGCGAGCGCGCGAATAAAAAAAAAGTTTTGCAAAAAAGTTGCTTTCATGAAATCTACGTAGTTATGAAGGTCGAACAAATGACACAGAGTATGGTATGGAGAATAATCTACTCTTCAAATTCATTTCTTTGCATTTTAGTTTTTTGTTTGATTTTGGCATTCTATGACGTTGGAATCGTTGTCAAATATTTTTTTTTGCAACTTTCGGTATATTTTTGCTCATTTTGTACAATTTACAGTGTGGTTGGAAACTTTTTTTTTTGGAAACGGCCGAAAATTCATGCGCGCGCGGATGTCATCCATATAATAAAATCAACATGGCCTTACTACAAACTGATTTGTCCTTTGTGTGCTAATAAACTAGCCTGGGTGCCATCCTAATTAGTTTACGCTCGATTTTCGTAGCGGTCGTAAAACAACCAGGATGGCGCCCAGGCTAGATGTCAACAGTACACAAATAAACATATAATTACCTTCGGACATGGTCTGCTTTGTTAATTTTTACTCAAACACATCCACATATATGTACTACGAGTATATGGTGACAGCAGTAGAGCAGACCATGAAATTGCAACATTATGTAACCCAACGTGACAGACGATGACAGACGTCAACAAATCATGTCATTGGCCAGGTCAGAGGTTAGTGTTTGGAACAGAAGAGGAAGAAACTGAGTAAAAACAAATGTTTTCCTTCGGTAAACATAAACAGGTTCCATCCCGGTCACGTGACTGCCGCTAGACCACAGGACTACTGTGATTGGGTGCTGCAGATGACTCGGTACGACACGGGGAACGAGAACGGCACAGGGGCCAAACCACTCGGACTGCGGGGGAGGTTCGCCGTGGTGAGGCACGAAGATGTCGTCGCCAGACCTCAGCAGATAGCCCGCAAGGTTTACAGCTTTGTGAACCTCCCGCTGCACCCAGGCGTCCTGACATGGCTACAGGAAAACATGGAGGACAACAGGACGTCACGTGGCATGTCTAGTATAATTAGGTACAACTCCTCTTTGTACCCTTCATGTGTATAGTTTAGCGTAATGTAGATTGTACAAATATTCTCTAGCCATTAGTTCTTTATAATACTCTGTCAGATACAATGTCCGTTGACCATATATATAGCATTATGTTAGACACATACCAACTAGTAATCTTATTAGGCCATACCGATTTAATTTTATGGGTGACATCCGCGCGCGCATTGATTTTCGCCCGATCTCAAAAAAAAAACAAACAAAAAAAAAACACGTCTTCCGAGGCTCTGGACTGGCCTCAAGCCTGGATAGTCCATGGTGGTGATAACTCTGGTGGACGGCACCCAGGCTACCGAAGCTCCAAGACTCAAGAACTCAGTACATACGTACAGTGTCGATTCATAAATTCCGCAAAAATCCAGTATGTGTCGGCCTGTCGTATACGTCGCTATGTAATGCGCCAAATTCACAATACCAGCTTTGTATTCCTGTGGTTTAGTAGCATTTTTATTTTTGGCCGGATTTTTCTTTTTTTCGCCCGCACGCACTAGTTTGGGGGTCTTCAGAGGATGTCATCCATAAAATTAAGTCGGTGTGGCCTTATTTGCCATACATTGTACCCGTGACAATCGTTGTGCAATAAACTTTGACTATCTGTCTTCCAGCCAGACAAACCTACAGGACCCTGTGAACGGTTGGCAGACGGCGCTAGGGTTTGGTGCCGTCAAAAGGATTCAGGAAATAAAGAGTTGTAAGACAGTCATGGACATGTTCGGCTATAAGATCGTTCACGTGGCGGACTTGAACAGAACAGCTGAGCCGAAAACATGACGACTTCCCACACTGATATCAAAGGCATCCACTCATATACTATATAGATAGTAGTTTGTAGTAAGAAATGTATCATCAATACATGACCATATTGTAACTCATATACTGTATAGATAGTAGTTTGTAGTAAGAAATGTATCATCAATACATGACCATATTGTAACTCATATACTGTATAAATAGTAGTTTGTAGTAAGAAATGTAATAAGATAGTTTAGTTTTCTAGCATTGTTGTACTGACTGCCACACATTGTACCATGTACGATTGTCGAACAATTAAGTTCATTCATTCATTCCAATGGGATACCATGGTGGCAAAACGGAAGTTTTATGATCAATTTATTCCTTTTCAGTAATAAGTTAAATCAATCCTGCCCTATAATATACTGATATCTGCGATGCCATGCATCTAGGCGAGAGGTTTCTGCCATTTCGTAGACTCCTATGCAGGCCCCGCGGCGGTGGAGAAGAGTTTTTTTAACGCGTTATTTTAATATAGCCGGCCATCCTACATAGCCGCCGATAGAAGGTTGCTTTCCGCCCACAAACTCTTTTCCACCGCCGCGGGGCCTGCATAGGAGGCTAGCTATTTCGCCAGAACGGGTGATCGGGCCGTCCGGAGGTGACAGGCCGTTGCCTAGCAACAGGTAAGATGATTGATGTGGCTGCCACGGCTACACGTAGAGCCGCCGGTCCAAGCTTATGCGCCTGGCCGACGCACCTGGGCGAGAGGTACATCCTGCCGCTAAAAGATTATCTCTCTTTATTTTCTTTCTTTTGTTATTACCAAGAACCACTCCCGTAATACATTTCAATGGAGAGAGTGGTTTTTGGTGGTTTTTATTCCTTTACGGGCGCAAATGATCCCCTGGCTCGGCGGTTGCCCGCTCGGCAGAAACCTCTCGCCTAGATGCATCGATCAAGCGCAAAAGTTTTGGCGGCGGCGTTTTCATTTCGCCAGAACGGGTGATCGGGCCGTCCGGAGGTGACAGGCCGTTGCCTAGCAACAGGTAAGATGATTGATGTGGCTGCCACGGCTACACGTAGAGCCGCCGGTCCAAGCTTATGCGCCTGGCCGACGCACCTGGGCGAGAGGTATATCCTGCCGCTAAAAGATTATCTCTCTTTATTTTCTTTCTTTTGTTATTACCAAAAACCACTCCCGTAATACATTTCAATGGAGAGAGTGGTTTTTGGTGGTTTTTATTCCTTTACGGGCGCAAATGTTTTTACTCCGTTTCATGTTTGGTCTGATATCTGAAGATCGGTGAGAAGGAACTGTACGATATTTGTCAGATTGATGGATGGGGCCTTGGAGATTGTGTAGGTTGACTTTGAGCCCCTGGTGATTGACCTTGGTACTGCAGTTTAATTTTTTTATTCTGTTGTTTTCGCGTTATGGACTGTTTGTGCGATATTAAGGTAGCATGTAGTTGTTATTACCATGGTTTAGTGGTTTAAATTTGGGTCCCCTAGCTGTTTGCGTTTGATATTTACAAAATGTTTAATGTTGGACTTTTTGTGTTGAATGTTTGGAAAATCTGGGGGATGGTTTGGTATGATTTTTGGTATGTGGGTAGTTGTTGAGTCTCTTTGTGTTTCGGAGTGCATTAGCAGGTTGTCGCATATTTTTATTGCTTAATTTAAAAGGATTTTCACTTTTTCACCCCTACTTCATAATAGGATGGTCTAGATCTGTTTGACCCAAAAGTTGGGACAGAGTGTTTTTGTTTATACCTCCAGCTGGCAGGTCAGACCCAGGCAGCCCTATCTATTTTTACCCCTAGACAGAGTCTGCAGGAAAATAAATCTTGTTTGTCTGGTCTGCAGGTCATTTGCCTGTCTGGTCATTGACCTACATGTACAGGCAAATGTAGCCTGGGTACCATCCCCAGTAGTATATTCGCAAACTCTATAACAGTTATAGAGTTTGCGAATATACTACTGGGGATGGTACCCAGGCTAAGGCAAATGACCTGCTGGCCATCAAAGTAAACAAACCATGGTAACAAGACACTAAACGCCTGCACATGACAGCTTGTAAAATACAAAGTGCCACCACAAATCATTCTGCTGATAAAAACAAAGTTTGACTCATAATATCTCTATTGAAATACACCAAAAGATAACAAAATAACAAGCTATTTCATGGAGGGATGATGTCTACGACTTCTCCTT